ATCCCTAATATTATAAAGAATCTAGGAATGATCGATTTTTTGGAGAGAATATAGGATAGTTATGTATATTAAGGTATATCCCTAATCTTAAAAAGAATATAGGCATGATTGATTTTTTTGAGAGAATATAGGATGGTTATGGTTATGTATATTAGGAGATATCCATAATCTTATAGGATGGTTATGTATTGTAGTTTTCTATTGGAATAGGTTTCTAAATAATAGGGAAGATAGTTATTCAGTAGATACAATCTGCTTCCTTACATATCTCTTTCACGGCAATGAAACATATAAAATAGATATTCACATATAAATCCACAACAATGTAGTTTCCTTAAATATAACCTATATAATTACAAATCTTATAAATCTATTCATTGATAAAAATAAAGTGTCATTAGAATTTGCGCTTTTTGATACATGTTGTATAGAAATCTATTAACACTAAAAATAATACGATTTTAGATTTTGTGGTTATCAACAATAAATCTGCTAATCAGTTGTTTTACATTATAAATTAATATTTGTCGTGCGATTTACACAAATCTATATATTAATAATAGATCAACTTATTATTATTAAATTAGTACTAATGCTCGCTGAGTGAAATTAATATATGATACTTCGTTTACTAAAATGATATCACTTAATTTTAATACGATTTCGTTAAATTAATAAAGCTATAATTGAAAGGGAAAATTGATATAACCAAAACAGTAATATATGCTGGATTTTATTCATAAAATATCCGAAATCATGGACATTATTGGAATACTAACAAAAGATCAACAGCTACAACTGCTGCAACCTTTGAAATTACCATCAACATAATAATTGAAAACAAATGAAATTCGTCCAAATTCAACTACTTAAAAATAATAACAATTAGAATCCTCAACCAGCGATTCTAGCCATCGACCTTGGCCTTTCCTTTGTCGTTCAAAGCATCCACCCTCGACTTTCCTTTAGCAGTGGAAGCAGATTGAGCTGTCAAAGCCAAAACTACGTCACTTGAATTGTTTAGTTCCTCCCAGAGGTTTCGTTTAGCGGCCGAAGTGTCACAAACCGCCTCCTTTTCAAGGGCTACTTTCATAGGAGTAGTAACTTCATCAGCATCATCCTAAGAAACAAAATAAATAAATAAACGAATTTATCACATTTTTTTTACAACACATCATATATAATAAAATGTAACAAATATAATATTTGAAATATTTGTTTAATTCCAAGATACCTCTCCATTCCCTTCTTGTTCCCTCATGAGCAAAGTCATAAAGTCCGATTCCTATGAAGTATAATAATACAATAAATTAGTAAATACAAATTAATTATATAATTTTTCTACAATAGAATAAGACAAATAAATAAATGAAATAA